GGGGAGCAATCATCTAGTCTTCATCGAACCAACGCAATCAAGAAAGGTGGTCCAACTTGAGGGAGTCAAGATCGTCTTCATCTAGCTCAAGTGGACCATGTGCAAGGCAAAGGTTTGCCCTTTATAGGTTTTCTATTTTACCGGTCTCGTGGTGGTAGTTGGGAGACCGAGTTATAGGATCGTTTGCCGTACTATCAAGGGGGGCTCTCAAGTTGGTAGCTTGATCGTATCATTAGTAGAGAGCTCAAACCATTGCATCCTTGCATCATGTTTCTTTGTTCTTGTTTGGTTCTCTTTGTGAGTCTTAGAGATTATGGTCATCTTGATGACAAGCTTTAGTTCATCAAAAACGGAGTTCGCATACGTCTTCTATGATGTTTTCGGTGTTGGAGGTTTTACCAGTCTTATTCGATGAAGGGTTCTCACCATTTTCTTATGGGACTTTTCTCATTTGCTTATTCTTGATATTTCTATCAATATTGTGTTAGCCCATGTCGTTACCTTTCCAACAAACTTTGTTTCGTTGAATTCGGAGTCCGTTTGCAAAAGTTGTGGCCGTTTTGGTAAAGGCTGCAGCGGTACTACCGCGACTAGAGCGGATGTAATTTTTTACTACCGCTCCAGAGCGGTACTACCGCGGCTCCTGAGCGGTAGTACCGCTCCAGAGCAGTACTACCGCGGCTCCTAAGCGGTAGTACCGCTCCGGACCAAAATCTCGTGTTTTGCTCAGCGGAAGTAGGCACAGAAGTATTTTTTTAGTACCGCTCGCAAGCAGTAGTACCGCTACAATTTGCGGTAGTACCGTGAGGTCGAGCGGTAGTACCGTGAGGACGAGCGGTAGTACCGCTCCGGCGGTTCTACTTGCCTTTTGCCTCCTCGCTGTTGTTTTTCAAAGGGGTTCTACCGCCCTAGCGGTAGTACCGCTCCTTGGAGCGGTAGTACCGCTCTGTGCGGGCTGTGAGCATAACGGTTGGATTTTTTCCCACCTATAAAAGGGGGTCTTCTTCCCCATTGAACCCAATCCCTTTGAGCTCGTGTTCTTCCCCCATTGTTGACCTTCTTTGAGCTTGCTAACTCTCAATCCCTCCATGGATTCTTGCTAGTTTTTGAGGAAAAAGAAAGAGGAGATCTAGATCCACGTTTTCACCAATCACTTTCTTCTCTAAGTGAGGGGAATCCCTTGGATCTAGATCTTGGAGTTCTTCGTGTTCTTTTTTCGTTCTTCTTCTCATTTTCCTCCCTAGCATTAGTTGCTTTGGTGGGATTTGGGAGAGAAGGACTTGGGCACTCCGTGTGCCCTTGCCATTGCATTTGGTGCATCGGTTTGAGTTCTCCTCGGTGATACGTGGAAGTGAAGTTTGAGAAGCTTATTACTCTTGGGTGTTTGGGCACCCTAGAGCTTGTTCCTCTTGGGTGCCTTGGCGCCCTAGAAGGTTGGTGGTGTTCGGAGCTCAATCATTGTGGTGTAAAGCTCCGGGCAAGCGTCGGGTTCTCCTATTAGGTTGTGGAGATCGCCCTGAGCAATTTGACGGGTTCCGGTGACCGCCCCCAAGGGTTGCCAAAGTGTACGGGTTCGGTGACCGCCCCCAAGGGTTGCCATTTCTACGGGTTCGGTGACCGCCCTCAAGGGTCCCTTAGTGGAATCACGGCATCTTGCATTGTGCGAGGGCGTGAGGAGATTACGGTGGCCCTAGTGGCTTCTTGGGGAGCATTGTGCCTCAACACCGCTCCAAACGGAGATTAGCATCCACAAGGGTGTGAACTTCGGGATACATCATTGTCTCCGCGTGCCTCGGTTATCTCTTACCCGAGCCCTTTACTTATGCACTTTACTTGGTGATAGCCATATTGTTCTTTGTCATATATCTTGCTATCTCATAGTTGCTTATCTTGCTTACCATAAGTTGTTGGTGCACATAGGTGAGCCTAGTTGTTTTAGGTTTTGTGCTTGACAAATTAACCGCTAGGTTTATTCCGCATTTGTTCAAGTCTAAACCGTAATTATTTTAAAGCACCTATTCACCCCCCCCCCCCTCTAGGCGACATCCACAATCTTTCAGCGAGGCCCATAGCGAAAAAAAAATCACCAAATCGCTCCCAGGCCTCCAATTCCTGGGAGCTTACTGAATTATCATTGTAATTTGTAAAAAATATTTGTCAAAGAGAAGAACATAACTGAATCTGAATGAGAACAATCACTGACCTGCAGCAGATGAGCATGATTCTTCATTGCAGATGAATATTCTGAGGCACGAAAAATCAAAATTACATGATTTTCTCATGCATATGAACATCAGCAACAACAATTTTGTCCTCGTTGCAACCTCCTCACTCTCTTTCCACGATGGGGCAGGAAAGCACAAGAAAGCAGGAGTGCGGGAAGAGCAGGAGGGAGGCAGGAAGAGGACGTGTGGTGATAGCGAGAAACACAAAAGACACGCGCGCGGGTCGTCACGTCGATCATTGGAACAGGCACCGAGAGAGACTCCCATCCATTGACCACACAAGCGGCGGTCCCAGATCGGCGGCGGTCCCAGATCGGCGGCGGGATTCACAACGAGGCCTTACACTGACGGGCGGGGCCCATAGCAAAAAAAAAATCACCAGATCGCTCCCAGGCCTCCAATTCCTGCGAGCTTAGTAACTTTAGAGATATCTGAAAGCCGGTTAGCTAACCAACGACGATGTATCAGAAATTCAGAATAACTGCAGTGTCCTTGTATGTACGTGCGCGATTGATACTACTACTATAGACTTTGCTAGGCTAGGCAGGGCGCGGAGCCTGATGGCCATTGATTTGCCGGCACGGTGAACGTACCATATCATGGATTACACGTACATGTATGGATGAATTGCGTATGTCTCCGTCACCTTGGCAGTTGGCACCACTGCAGCAGCGCTGTCTTTTTCTGAAGACGGCAGTGAGCGGTTAGCATTTGCTTGCTTGCTTGCTTGTGCAGTGTACTCGTAATTAACCAGGGTCCTCAGCAGGCAGGCAGGCGGGAAGAGTCTTGGCCTAAACCAAGCGTGTCGACTGGACAGACACGAAAAGCCCCGAGCCATTTGATACCTCGTGAAAACACGTTGCTCTGCTCGAATCGTTCGTTCACGAGAAGAGGCGACGAAGGAGAAACTAAACCCCTGAAAAGGCTGTTGCGCCGTTGATCCCGCCTTCGTGGCAACCATGCATACACACACGTGGCGCATACACACACGCACGGA